TATTTGTATAAGCAACTTTACATCTTTCCTTTCAATATTTTGTTTCTTATTTTTCTCTGCTACCTGGCGGATCCTATCATTATGTCTTGTTGGTTCACGTTTACATCTGGGATTGCTATTTTGTTCTGAGTTTTTGTACTTTTGTACCGTTTTATTGGAACAGAAAAAGCAAACTGGTTCTTCAACAGAGCTTAAAACTGGAGATGATGAGGTAATGTCATTGACCTTGCATAATGAACCGATACTACCAGACACCATGTGTTAGGTTAATAATTTTTATTTTTTAACTTTTTAATTGAACATACAGCTTCTTTTGTTTCCAAGGGGTCTTTCTTTGAAGTACTCAATTAGTAGAGATCGCTTTTGAGAAAAGTGTTTTCAAGTGAAAAGAATTCTTCTATTAGCACTTCTATTAGCATTTTTGGAAGAATGACAGATTAAGTTCTTCCACAAGAATCACTTTGAATGCTTTTAGGATTTTCAAAATCGCTTTTGACTATGTAACCAAATGCCATTAACATTTCAAAAAGTGCTTATTTATTGATTTTCCTTTTAATTTTTAATTATTGTTATTTATTCATTTATCTAATGATACGAAAAAGAGTACCAAACATGGGTTTAGCTTGCCTAAGCCTATTCCCACCCAACAAAACCTCCAAACAAATGGCCCCTTGGGGATTTCTTATAGGAAAAAGGGGGGTTACATCTTGGTCAGATGGGAGATTGTTTTGAAACTGATCTCAGTGGGAGGGCCAAGTATTGATAACTTGTTGCTCCATAATGAGGCCTTGCTCACTAAATGGATTTGGCGCTTTTCCATGGAAGATATTGCTCTATGGTGTAGGATCATTGTGAACAAGTATTTGTCTATCCCTTCGGGGTGAGTTTCCAACCGTAGGGTCAAAGGTGTAGAGATCTATTGCCCTGGGGTATCTGAATATCTCTAGATTTGTCAGGTTCATTGTCGAGACTCGAGGATGGGGCATCAACTGGGAGGATGGTTGGATGGGGATAGTCGCCTTTGCCATCTCTTTCCTAGTCTATACCATTTGTACTCGCTTATGTTTGTGTCCATTGCGACTATTCTTGTTTTCACTGCGGACTCTTTATTGTTCAATTTTGGTTTCATCAGTAAGTTGTCAGATTGTGAGTCTTCAGACATTTCTTTGCTTCTGTACTTGCTAGCCAATTTCTCTCCTCGGATCAGAGTTAGGGATATTTGTTTTTGTTCTCCTAGCCCATCAAGGATTTGTCTTGCAACTCCTACTTTTCTGTTATTTGTGGTTCCACCCTTCCCACAAGTTCTTTGTTCTCTTCACTGGAGAAGGTTCGAATTTCCAAGAAGGTCAATTGTTTGCCTGGGAAATCACCCATGGGATGTTTAACACCATAGAGTCTCATTCGAAGATCGTTTTCTATTGTGCTAGGGTCTTAGTGGTGCAAAGTGTGTAAGAAGGCCACAGAAAGTCTGGATCATATTATTTGAGATTGTCAGTTTACTTCAGCTATTTGAGATAGATTCTTGGGGACTTTCAGTATACAGTTGACTTGTAATCGGCTTATGATGGAGGAGGTGCTTTTCCAACTCCTTTTCATGATAAATGGGTGTTTCTGTGGCAAGCAGCTTTTCTCGCAAGTTTGTGAAATGTTTGGCTAAAGCAAAATAGGAGAGTTTTTAGTGATAAGGAAAGTTCTTGGGAGGAGGTTGGAGACTTGGCTAAGTTCAATGCCTCCCTTTAAGCTCCTATCACCAAGGACTTTAGTGTTTATGCTTTATCTCTCATTTTGTTGAATGGAAGCCCCTTTTTGTAATTTTTTTTTTGCTTTTCTTTCTTTTGTTTTGGGTGCTTTGATTCCTGCTGGCTTGAGCTTTTCTTTTTTTGTATTGCCCTTATGTATTCTTTCTTTTGTTCTAAGTTGTCTTTGAAAAAATTAGATCTATTTTTTTTCGGCATCCAGATTCTTATATGGCTTTCTAGGACTATTGGGGGATTGTAATAAGGACTTGTTGATAATGTTTATGGTGTTCCATAAGAAATTGATGCTAGATGCCTTGCCTCTACGAATAATACTTACATTTGCCTACCCAGTGAAAAAATTTGAACCCATAAGCTAGTTACAAGTGTGTATAAGATTATCTCTAAGGTTTTCAATTGATAATTATAGGAATGTTGTTTCTCTCAGTGTCTGTGTCTCGTCTGCAAATGGCTTTTCTGAAGGGTAGAGAAATCCTTGATGGAGTTCTAATTCCTGATGAGACTATTAAGGATTTTACATCAGAGGAGTAGTATAACTGAAACCTCAGCATGGGTATTGAGAGAAAGAGAGACGAGAGAGAGAAATTTAGAGATTGAGAGATAAGAGAGAGAGAGAGAGAGAGAGAGAGAGTGGGAGATTTTTGGGTAGCCCTTGTATTTTGTTCAAGAAAGTAGAGTTTCTCGCTAGAAAGAAAGTGCTATACTCTAATGGAACCATTCTTTTACAGTTTTCTAATGTTGTTTGGTTCACTCTTTCTCTAGTGTTGGATTCCACTCAAGTACTATGGCCTAGAGAGTGATCTGTCAACCAGATATCAGCGAAGCATGGTGGCACAAAAAAGTTCCCCTATACAATTTTCAATGAGCCCGTATGTATTTTTTGCTTCTTGATGCATATAATCTTCAATGAAAGTGAATTTCATCTATTTGTTAATAATATTTATTTTGAGTATTTGATTTGGTTGCCCTTTTTGTAGGGATGACTATATGAACTCCTTGTGTCCTGGTGCGTGCACAAGCAGCATTAAGCCCAGGGGTCCATCTAAAAGGTGTATGAATTTACATATTAGGCTGTTCAATTTTGTGTTACTGAGCATTTAAGTGGTCAGGAAACTGCTTGCTTGTAGAAGTAAACATGGAAAATTCAAGTATTTACTAATGTTTTAATCCTACATGTGGCCATATCAGGTATTTGCTTTCATTGTCTTTGGACGAACGGATTAAGAAATTGCTCAGCGAGGTTTGTAAGATGATTACTTATCAAAGTTTAATTCCTGATTGCCCTATCAAGATATTGGTGTCTTGTCTACTCTAACGTCTAACCTTTATGCATTATAAGTTGGCTACATATTCTGTCTGTTTGTGCGTTCATCAAACATTTTCAATTATCATGAGATCTTGCTTTAAAATTTTACTCTCTCAACTTAACCAAGGAATTTTTGTTGCATTTATGCTTATTTGATTTTTTTTGTTGGTGTACTACATTAGCCATTGGTAGATAAAAATTTCTTTTGAAATTGTTAGTGTCGTCATTATTTAACAATAGAAAATATTACTTTTATTGAGTGGCATGCACATGGTTTAGAAACACAATCACAAAATAGGATAGCGGTAAGCAAAAAATATTTGCCTTAGATGAGCTTGACCAATCAATCAATTTCCAATTGATGTCTAAAGCGTAAGGTTAAAATTTACACTCAGACATCTCAAAAGCATCACATGCGTAATATATAGAGCAATACCATAATTTGATTGGAATTGTGATATTAAGACCTAATTATTGTACCTTTATGGGAATATTTTTTGTGATGTCATTGGGGTGTTTGAATTTGTATTCAGAAAAAGATTTTCATTTTTGTTTGATGGGGACTAGTTCTGAAAATATTTTTAATTTTTCATAAGAAAGATTGCTTCTTATTGACAGAACTTTAACCTCTTTTTTCCCCTTGATTGAAATTTATTTTGGAATTGAAAGGGGGAAGTGGGAGGAGATGCCGATAGCTTCATAAGAAAGTGTATTATCTTTTTACCTTTTAGCTTTTATATACTTGCTGAGTCATTGTTGATGACCTATCCTGTGTTTGTATTTCGAATAATTTCTTTCTCCTTTTCAATAGGGACCTCCAGTTCAAAGATTCAGTGCACTTAAGCATTATGCCCCTGATTATGAAGCGGAAGAATTTATCGAAGCTCTTCAGCAGTATGCTCAGTTAGTGCAGGGTCTCTGGGTTGCAAAAAGTTCATTTCTACTTCCCCAAGATGGTGGCGGACGTTGTGCTAGAGATTTTGTTCTTTGTCTGTTTAGCAAGAATCCTCTTATCAGCTCATCACAGATAAATGTTCCAAAGTCTCTTCGGGACAAAGCGAAACATTTTCTGAATTTGTTCGCTGTCGAAAGACCTGCCTTTAAGGACTGGAAATTTAGGGAGAAAACAGATCGTTCATTTTTAAATAACTACCTGGATATTGTTCAGAAGCAAGAAAAGATATGGAGATCTGTAGAAGAAGGGATCACTAATTCCTTCCGGGGATCTGTCAAAAGTGGGTCCCATGCAAATGCTGCTACAGGAAAGCCTGACATAGTTCCTAAAACTGAAAAACAAGTCAGTTTTGACAAAGCTACGACAAAAAGTAGTAGTGCACCTCTCAACCGAAAAAGTACCATGTCAGATGAAACTCGAGAAGCTTTACCAAAAGCCCTTCAAAAGCTTTTTCAAAATCACAAGGTTTGCAGGTAGGGGCTGGCACTCTTTCTTGCTTGTGCTTATCCTTGTGAGATTTTTTTCTTGGTTGGAAAGGAATGCTAGTTTCAATACTACAGAGAGGAACTTTGATGAGATTTAGGATAGCATTGCTTTTAACCTCTCTTTTAAGTCTTCACGTTTTGTAATACTCCAACTCCAACAGTTATCAATCATGGGTCACTGTCATAATCTATTCTTCCCTTGTGCAAGATAAAGCTTCTTGTAGTAAGCTAATGTCGCTTGCCTTGTTATTGCAGCTTTCAGTTGATATGTCAAGGTTTACGTGATTTGGCTGTGTCCCAGTCTACTCTTCCAAAAGCTGATGCCAGAATGGCGGTGGCTGCTGCATATGGTGTTGATGCTCCTCCGGATGAATTAAAAAAAATCATAGGCCAAGTTGCAACTGAGATTCATGGTCTCTATGTCATGACGTCATCTCCAGAGCATCCAGAATATGATCCATTAAGGTTGCTGGTGAATTTTATTCATGGTCAAAGTGTCTTGTACGAAACATCTTCGTTTGTGTTATTTTCCCATCCTTGGAGCTCTAAGAAAGGGTGTCGGAAGATTAAAAAAAAGTACTAGTAATTTGAGCTGGGGGCACATTGGTTGGTTGGCGTAGTTTTGGGCTCCAACCACTGGCAAATAATATAAAAAATTAAAATAAAATTTTTTTAAAAATTTAATGTACCGCCTTGAAATCCACTGGTTTTCTCAAAGCAGTTTTGCAGTTTGCGACCTTTTTGTTTTTTGAAATAAGTTTACGGTTGGTCGTAAAGCACTTTATAGACCAGATGGCCAACCAACTCCTCGATTTTCAATTTTGGTAACCGATGCCGACCAAACTATTCATCAGACCGACTGACCGACATGTTGTCGGGTGAACTTTTTCTAGAATTTTTTTCTTCACCCCTAATTTGAGCTGATGGAAAAACACTAGAAATGGGCATCTTGGTTTTTACTTTTTCTTAAGTGGTGTGCTGCACCATGCAGGAAAGTTATAATTCAACTTTTGCGTGGACGTGGACCTAAAGCAGTGCTCAAAAAAGCTGATGTGTTGGAAGCTTCCAAGCGTGAACTTGGGAGGGCTATCAATAGCAATGAATATACCAAGGTTAGCCACCATATTATTAAATTCACTCATTTGACTTTCTTTTCGCAAGAAGGAAAATTTTGAATAGATTTTAATCCTTATGCTACTGTAACATTGTGCGAGGATCTTTATTGTTCAGTGATTACGATGCTATCCTGTAACTAATCTCAGGACCAGTTTAACTCGTATGTTACTGTGGGTTGCAGATTTAAATGTTTTTCCTTAGAACTAAATTCTATTGATGACGTGGCATCCTCAAATAATAACGTTTGACAGAAATTTCACATTTGCTATACAAACTAGCAGAAGAAGATATTCAATCTACTGATTTATCAGTTTTGCTATACAAACTTCTCTCATTGTTTGACTTTTTCCCAAAAGAACTGAAATCTGAAAATTCTTCACCTAGTTATAATGCCAAAGTATCGAGTTGGCTCATTTGTATTTATATCGGTCAGGCCTCTTGATTCTTACTCCAATTATCATTATTAAAGCAGTATCATAGAGAATCTTTTCTTTCGTCGTTCTGGCAAGGGGTTGAAGAAGGGCTTGGTCATTTATCTAGTAAGTACTAGTACTATGTTCTCCAAGCTTGCTTGACTAATTATATAGCGGGGTTTTTGGGGGGCATAGAATTCAGGGATGTCTCTGACTAACTGGAAGGAAAAAGAAAAGTAACCCCGCCATGGTGAACCATTCCTTGTATGGGGATGAGATAACTTTTTACTTAAGCTAGTGCGAGCACCCAACAATATCTTTAATTCTGGCAGACATCTGGTGAATCATTGAATTTGTTTTTCCTCTCAACAAGAGCGAAGGGGACTGTACCAGATTTTGAGAGGTCTTACTAGCTTGATGTATCCTGGATTTCTGCTTTTAGAACATTGAAATCCTTGATGATTCATCTTTTCCTTCTCTGTAAACTCGATGAAGCCCTCTCATCTGGTGTCTCTGGAAGTTTTCTAGAGATCTAGTCACAACCTTTATTTTTTTTTTTTTCAATTCATTAGATCTGCCCGCCCTGCATGTAGTTTTTCAGTTGTTGCACAGGATAGCAATTACAATTGGATCTCCTGCCTACCATATACCGGGGATAACTTTTGTCTCCACTGATAGCACCGTCAATCAGTGTTTTGATTTTATGCACTTACTGATAGACGATATTCTATCACGGGATTGGCTGATACAGTCATTATTTCCATAAATGTTTTCGACCACCTTCACCTGGTGTTACGGTATCCGGTTCTGGTTTTAACTACAATTGCTTTTTGAGCAGGTTATGAATGAAATTTGCGTGTCCCACGGTTCGTCTTGGGTCTTGAAGAGTGGCGATGGAAATTCAAGATGACTAGGTTCTTCTTGGGACATTCCAAGCACAATTAAAGAGGTTCAAAGCAAAGAAAGCAACCAGATAATTCTCACTCTGCTGTACAAGTTTCTATACTATACTCTACTAGAAAGCATATAAAATCATGGAAGAAGCATTTCTTCGTCTCAAAAGAAAAAAGACTCTTATTTATTTGCTTATTTTTTGCTCTGATTGAAGAAATATGCATTTTGCAGATAAAATTTGAATGCCATTATCCAGTGGTCTACATCATTTGAGCCACATCCAAATTTTGACTCCATGTATTTTCTCCAACATTTTTTTCAAAATATTTCACTGAGTATAAGGGAGGGAGGGGGAGTTTGTTGAGGATTAAGCTATCCACCTCAGTATTAGAAATATGATATGTGGACTAAAACAAATGAAAATGGACAATACAAAAAATAATTTAGATTTGATAAATGCTGGTACATATATTCTATCTTTATGGTTATTTCTAGTTCACTATAACCCTCAATTTATTATTTACCAAATTGATTGTTGTAGTTGTAATCATATTTTATAAGATGCATTAGGCCATTTGAGCTAATAAGATTTTAAATACAGCAACTTCTAGAAAGAGTTAGCAGGTGATGAAACTGATGCTAATTTACTGTCTTTTTCATCAGGTACCATATTCCAGCGCAGCTTAACTAGTGGAAAATGCTTTGGCAAACTGAATGCTTTTCAATGTCATTGCAACACAAAAATTTTGAATTGTACAGAAAAGGTAAATTCTAGACCAATTATAGCAGGCATTCTGACCTTTCCTTTATGCATCAGTAAGATACAGCCAGTAACCGCTAATGTAATGCGAACTTTAACAAGAAGCAGTGCATAATATAATGATATTAGGTGAACCTTGAATGTTTGCTAATACAAGGGAAAAAAAAAACTTGGGGCTGTTTTGTTTTGGTGTGTTTTATAAACAATATTTTGAGATGCTATCTTTTAGGTTGAATAACTACTTCCAAACATTTGTTCATCTGGTTTTTAAACTGTGGACAATGATCAGTTTGTAGTCCTTGTTTTTACATCCATTCTACTTCAGCGATCATTGATTCAATCCCTGGATTACGTATCACTTTGCGTGATGTTTGGGGCATGTCCTTCCAAGGATGTGCTTAACCAAGGTGAAAACGTGTTTGAAGATGTAAAAAATATAAAAACTATTTAACCACTATGGGTCGACATAACAGTATGCCATATCTAAGGTGGGACAAGACAGTTTCTCTCATGTTGTTGAGGCAGTAAGATCACTTCATAATAGGCAACCCCCTCCCTATGATGTAACATCTATCAACTTTGCTATATATATATATATATATATATATATATATATATAATTGTTAAAAATACTACATATCTTTCATTTTTTATTCTCTTTTTATATTAATTAATAGAATAATACATATGGATTAATTTTTCATAAATTAATACAATGGAAACATTACTTAAATTTAAATTTAAGTTTTAAAGTTTCATAAATTAATTCATGTGGGGAAAAATTCAAATGTTTAACTATATATAGTGTTTGTACATGTATTGATGATATATAATGATTAATTATAAGAGAACTTTAGATAATTTAAGGTTTGTTCGGTTGGCCATTCAGATTCTGTTTATTGTTTTTAAATTTAAGATGTTTGACAAATTTGCTTCTAAATTTCTGAAAAACAATATTTTTATGTTTCAATGTTTTGAATTTGAAGTTTTGAAATGCATAATTATATTTGAGAAAAAGATAAAATTTTTGATAAATCTATTATTTCATGCTATAAACTTATTTTATTTTTTTTTTAAATTAAAACATGTAAAATATAATATACTATAAAATTATATAATATGGTAAAATAATAATTATACAAAATTTATAAAAAAAATGTTAGTAAATTAATTAATATTATTTTATATTGTACTAAATATTTAATTGGTAACTACACTAGTTTACAAATATATTACTAAACACACCTTTAGTTAAACTAATAAACAAAAAACTACATATTAACAAATAATTTCATAATGGTATTTAGTTACCAAAATATGCTTAGTGTTGTAATAACGATTTAAATCTTGTAGTTTAAAGTTTGTAACAATTTAATTATAGTAGCTTTTTAATGTTTTTTTTAAAACATTAATGATTAAGTTATTACTAATTTTAAACTAGAAGAATTAATTTTTTTTTTAGTTCATAGGAGCTCATTCAAATGCTAGATTATTATGTATTAGAAAAAATGTTAGAGGATTACTTTGAAATCAAATCTTTTTTTAACCAATGTTTAGACGTAAGTTATTTATGCAAAAATTGAGAGAGAGAGAGAGATTAAACATTTGGATTAAAATATGCCAGAAATCATCTTTGTTTTTTCAATTATTTTTTAGGGGGGAAATTTATAAATTATTCTGAAAAAAAAAAATTCTAAATCCCAACTTTTCTCGTTGGAAACATCTAAAACCATGCTCTGCTGCTGGGCTGAGACTTCCACACACAGACTTTAAACCCTAGAAATGTCGTTCTCTATCTCCGCCCGCCACATCCGTCGCCTATCTACGTCAGCCGCCGCCGCTGCCGCCGAATCCTCCTCTACCGCCACAGTACCGGCGACTTCTTCCATATCCATTTCAAAAGCTAAATCCAAACTCAGAACCGAGTATGATCCCGATAAAGCTTTGGACATTTACTCTTCTGTTTCCAATCACTACACCTCCCCTGTCTCTTCTCGCTACGCTCAGGAACTCACCATTCGGCGCCTTGCTAAGGCCCGTCGATTCGACGATGTCGAATCCCTAATCGAGTCCCATAAAAATGACCCCAAGATCACTCAGGAGCCCTTTTTGTCCACCTTGATTCGATCTTATGGTCGAGCCGGCATGTTCGAGCACGCTATGAGGACGTATAATCAGATGGAGGATTTAGGAACTCCTCGATCGGCGATTTCCTTCAATGCTCTGTTATCCGCCTGTAACCATTCGAAGCTATTCGACAAGGTTCCTCAATTGTTCGATGAAATTCCCAAGAGATTCAAAATTTCTCCTGATAAGATCTCGTACGGGATCCTGGTTAAATCCCATTGCGAAGCGGGTTCCCCTCAGAAGGCCATACAGATTGTAAGAGAGATGGAGAAGAATGGCGTGGAGATAACTGCAGTGACATTCACAACCATATTGGATTCTCTATACAGGAAGGGCGAGAGCGAGGAGGCCGAGAAAATCTGGAACATGATGATCTCAAAAGGGTGCGAGATTGATGTGGGGGCCTATAACGTTAGACTGATGCATGAACATGGCGGCAAACCAGAACAGGTACAATCTCTGATCGAGGAAATGGCTAATTCAGGTTTGAAACCCGATACCATTAGTTATAATTACTTGATGACTTGTTACTGCAAAAATGGGATGATTGATGAGGCAAGGAAGGTCTATGAGGACATGGAGGGAAATGGGTGTAATAAGAATGCTGCAACTTTTAGAACATTGATATATTATCTCTGTAGAAATGGGGAGTTTGAGAAAGGGTATAGGGTTTTCAAGGAGAGTGTGAAGATGCATAAGATTCCTGATTTTAACACGATGAAAATTTTGGTGGAGGGGTTAGTGGAGAAGAAGAAGATGAAAGAAGCAAAGGGATTAATCAGGACAGTGAGGAAGAAGTTCCCTCCTAATTCTTTGAATGCTTGGATAAGAGTTGAGGAGAGTCTTGGTTTGGCTTCTGTTGCTGATGATGAAGCTAAAGCATGAGTGTTAATTGGATTTTGTTGATTTTGAGTTGAAGGGTTTCTTCTCTGTGTCTGTATTGGCTGATTCTTTTTGTGCCTAAATTGAATTGGTTTTGTTCTGGAAGTTGCAGATTGCTGCAAACAATTGGTGTTATGCCTTTGGCACTGGAGGAAGCCTAATTGAGAGAGCAGTCATATGGGAATCTGGAGTTGTAAAAGCTCCAATCTCTTTTTATGACAGATTCAGAGCCGATTCCAATTTATTGCTTAATTTACAAAACTGCATTACAATGGGCTGGTTTGTGGATGGTTAGATTTTGGAGAGGGATGAGTTGGAACTTGGAAGTTAGGAGAACAAAAAAAAAATGAAAAAAAATGAAAAAATGATCGACGGAAGGAACAATATTTTATCCTAACCTCCAAATTGACACTTCTATTTTACAACTCATCATCCAATTCTCTACCACGGCACATTTCAATTTTCTCTTTAATGGAAATGTATTTTTTTAAAACAAATTGAAAGGTTGATGGTAGAATTGAAATTTTTGTATTATTTATTATAGTTTGTAAATTTATAATAATTTTTTTTAGTACAACATGTGGGGTGGGGATTTCGAACTCGTGATCTCTAGGTAAGAGATAAATGTCAATAACCACTGAATTATGTTTGTTTGTCTTTAGAGTTGGATTTTAGAAGTATGAATTTATATGGTACACAATTAGTAAACTTGGTAACTAGGAAAGAGACTTCATGCAACATTCAAACGACAGGCATGACAACAATTTGCCTACAAGTTCAATTCTCTAGTTTGCAGCAGAGTAATAAAATGACAATATCTTCATTGATAGTTTATTCAATTTTATATTGACATCTCCATAAGAATAGAGATTTTGATATTTCTTGCAATGTGGCCATCATCATGAGGTGAGATACTGTTGAAATTGAGGGTTCTTTCTCGCTCTGTATAGAAATACTATTCTCATTAAAAAGGAGAAAATCTCAAGTTTGTGTGCAAACGTTTTAATGTGCAAGAGTATTACAATTTTTTTAAAAAGGCCTCAGAGAACAAAATTGAATATAAGAGAAATAACACATAAATTGCCAGAGTAGCATGGCATTTTCTCAAGCTTTCTTTTTTCTGCTCATGGAGGGTGTAATGCCGCCCGTGGTGGTAATGTTGCCGGAGTGCAGCGGCAGCAGCCCGCGTGGGGTGGCTAAAAGTCCCAAACGCAAGAAAGGGAGATATATGTGTATCAGATGCTCGCTTTGACCCTATCAATTCAGCTGTTATAGCACTCTGAAAACAAAAAACTAAATGAGAAACCGAAACATTAAAGACATGTTTGGTATTCAATTCAGATTCACTGAATTGAAAACTGTTATCGGATCATGTGATTTAAACAGTAGAAATTTTGAAAACAAATTTTTATGCATTTTAATTTTGAAATTTTAAAATGTAGAATTACATGAACTTTAATAAATATATTATATCATGTTATTAACTCTTCATTTTTGTTAAACTATAAAATGTAAAATATAATAATATGATGGGTTAATGAATCAATTAAAATACAATTAATATTATTTTAGATATAATTAAATGTTTAGTTTGTGTTTTTCATGCTTAGTTACCAACCAAAACAAAACAAAACGCATCCAAAAACTTATTTTTGTTTTAGAAATTTACCTTGAACCCGCAATTAAACTCAAAGATCTATTAGATCAACTTCGATCTTCAAAGGCCTAGAGTCAGAACACAGTGCCAAGACGACATGAGCAGAAGAGTAAGAATAGAATACCATAGCAGAGAAGAGGGAGACGCCATAGATCAAACAAGTGGTGTGCATACACAGCTTCGGCTTCGCAGCGGAGATGGCGTAGAGAATGTACTGCTTCTTCAGATCAATCACAAAATCGGGGAATACGGCTCGCGGGACCAATATCTGGGCACCAATGAGAGGCGGCGCCAAGGCGTGTACGAGGAAGGACACAAATAAAACTGAGTTCCATGGTTCGTGATTTTGAGATGTTGACTTCTACTCGTATTGCTATATTATTTATTTGGGCGTTGCTAAGAAATAATCAATTTTGTCTCACCATTATCATTATTATTTTTAAATAATGGATTGTCAGTTTTTGAAAGATGACCAAGACTTATGTCTCTCTCGTGTCTAAACTAGGTGATTTTTTGGTCCTTACTGTTTAAGAAACCAAAAATTTTTCAAGCCTTTTGAGGCTAATGGTCACAGAAAAATGTTAAATTAAAAAGTACATAAATAAATAATTGATCTTTGCTTTTATTTCGAAAATACTTCTATCTTTTTAAAATTTTCAATACTATAGTTGACCTTTAACATAGAGAAAATGTGAAAGAAGTCATCATTTTTAGGATAAATTTGAGACATTAATTATCACGTCAATTTAGATTTTAAATTTTAGATTAGAACATGATAAAGTATTTGGCATCTGAGTAAACAGTAAGAATAATTTATCCTAAGAAAGAATTGGATCAAGATGCCAACGTTGAAGTCAAAAATTCAATCTTGAAATCTAAAACTGGACTAGGAAACAGGAAAATACGAGTCAACTTGGAAACAGAAAAAAAGGGTGGACATTATACCCCAGTCAATTTTGAAACTAAAAAAAGATGGGTGCTACTACTCTAACATAGTGTCTGAACCAGCTTACGCTCGACAACGCTCGACTAATCAGACGACGTTTCTACTCATAATGACAAATCAAAATTCTGAGCGAGAGAGAGCTCCGCTCATTACCAATCGGAGGCTGGAGGTGCACCGGCTTCAACTGGAGGTGCTGGTGGTCGTGCTACTGCAGCATCCCATCCGTCTGCTGCTCCTAAAGCCACT